CGCATGCCTGTAATTCCGGCTACTTGGAAGACTGAGGCAGAAGGATTGCCGGAGCCCAGCGGGTCGAGGTTGCGGTGGCCGGGAGTGGCCACTGCACTTCAGTCTGGACGACAGAGTGAGACTCCAACTCAAAAAACCAAAAAATAATAATAATAATATCAAATAAAAAAAGATTTTTGAGTGATCGCTTACACATGCATTCTCTACTATGTTCCTTAAATGACAAAATAAGAACGAATACTTCCAGAGCGTTTATTATGTGCTGGGAACCATTCCAAGCTCTTGACCTATGTTACCTCACATTATCTCTCACAACCCGTCCTAAGAGTCGGGGATTGTGGGTGTCCTCAGAGACTTGCTTAAGGTCCTCAACCCATAGGTGGCAAGGCCTGGACTTGAAGTTAGGGTGTCTGCTCAGAAGTTGCACTATGAACCCCTCACCAAATGCCTAACGTGTCCACACAAATTCCAGCTCTGGGCTTAAAGTCATTCCAATGTGATCTGTTTTTTTCTACGGTACAGATACAAGTATAACATTGAACAATACTCCCCATCCACCCCCTACCATGATAGGCAACTTTGAAGTCAACTGCTTTGCCCCTAACGTGATTTCGCTGCTGGCTTCATCTTGGTGCTTGACGTTGGTGTGCTGCTAAGTTACTTTCCCCGTCCTGGCTAACGTCGGGGTTGATCAACTCAGTTGTTAACAGATCGAAGTCTTGGTCTTGACCCTACATGGCCCTACTAGCCACACTTGGTTCAGCAACACTTGGTCCTGGGCACCAACTCTTTTCCCTGGCCAGAGGGAGAGTGGGGCCTGAACAGAGAGGTCATGGTGACTCATGACAACAGCAGGAAGTCAGAGTACAAGGTTGACGGCATACTGGCCACGAGTCGATGAAAAGATAAGAATGGATGGCATTTGGTGCTGGCAGCAATCACAGGGGGCTGTCCAACCCCATTTTCCCAGATCAAGAATCTGTGGCTCACGGGAGAAGTGATTTTCCGAGCACACACTCTTGTTGATGTCAAAGCTAGGACTCCCAGTCCAGTGCTCTTTTATCTGATGAAAATGACAGCTTCTTTATTTAAAAAAATTTTTTTGAGATGGGGTCTCGCTCTATTCCCCAGGCTGGAGTGCAGCAGCATTATCATGGCTCACCACAGTCTTGACCTCCTGGGCTCAGGTGATCCTTCCACCTCAGCCTCCTGAGTAATTGAAACTACAGGTACACACCACCACGCTCGGCTAGTGTTTAGACTTTTTGGAGAGACGAGGTGTCTCTATGTTGCCCAGGCTAGTCTTAGATTCCTGGGCTCAAGCAATCCTCCCGCCTTGGCCTCTCAAAGTGCTGGAATTACAGGCGCGAGCCACCACGCCCTGCGGAAAGTTTCTTCAAACTTGGCTCTGGGTAGGTCCTCCTAAGAACTCGACCTGGAGCTGCATGTGTGAAGACAGAGCTAGAATAAAAGGAGAAGAGAAATATGACTAAAGACAAGAAGAAAGCAGAGTGAAAGGAATGGTTGCTCACATCGCTTTCTGATCCTCACACAGAATCAAATAGGGACATAATAGTAACAGGGACTTTTAATCACAGAGCCGGGTTCATACTCTGGCACAGGCCAGGAGCATTGGTGTAATAACCTGTCTCCTTCCTTCCCCAAGAGGCTGAAGTAACACACGCTGGGCCGTCTGCCCCTCCAAGCCCAGCCTCAGCCTGGCGGGCTCCCGGCAGGCACCTCTGCTCTCCACCTGCTCTGGACTTCGCTGGGCCTTTGGTGACGTCGGGAGAGCAGATCGGGAGTCAGGCCCCCTAGGACAAGTCCTGGTCCAGATCACCCCAGGAGCCCTCTGGGACACTCCTTTCCTGCAGTCAGGTGCAGTCCTTTGCTCACTGTTCCCATGCCTTGTCTCTAGCCTTGGTGACCATTCTGAAACTGTGCCTTGCTAGAGCAAGATGTTATTTCGCCAACATGGACTGAAAGACACTGGTGTTTCTGTCCAATTCTTCCTTAGTCTGATTTGTTTTTTTTTTTTTGGATTTGGAGTCTCACTCTGTCACCCAGACTGGAGGCAGTGGCACACTCCCATCCACCGCAGCCTTGACCTGCTGGGCTCTGGCAATCCTTCCGCCTCTGCCTTCCAAGTAGCCGGAACTACAGACACGTGCTACCACGCCCGGCTAGTTTTTGATTTATTGTAGAGATGAGGTCTCGCCAAGTTGCCCGGGCTGGTCTTGAACCTGCGGGCTCAGGCAATCCACTCGCCTCGGCCTCCTAAAGTACTGGGATTACAGGCTGAGCCACCGAGCCTGGCCCTGATATGTTTTTGATGAGCCCTATCTACAACAGGAAGTCATAAGCAAATGCTCTGACTCTTTGAGTTTGAGTTGGAGATTCTTTTTTTTTTTTTTTTTTTTTGAGTCAGAGTCTCACTCTGGCGCCCAGGCTGCAGTGGGATGCTCACAGCCACCGCAGCCTTGACCTGCTGGGTTCAGGCGATCCTCCCGCCTCAGCCTTCCAAGTACCTGGAACTACAAGTGTGCGCCACCATGCTCAGCGAACTTTTTTGTTTATTTTAGAGACGAGATCTCGTTAAGTTGCTCAGGCTGGTCTTGAACCTGCGGGCTCAGGCAATCCTTTCTCCTCCGCCTCCCAAAGTGCTGGGATTACAGGTGTGAACCACCATGCTCAGCCTGAGCTGGAGATTCTAACCCTTCTCCTCACAAATAAAAACGAGAAAGTGCAAATCATTTATCCAATTCAACCAGCTCCTTAGTCGCCAAGGCCTCTGGCTATGTTCTTCCCCTGGCTTTAGCTATGTTCCCACTGACACTGATGGCAAGTCAGCAACTCTGCAGAGTCAGGGTTCTTTCTAGCTGCTCTGGTCTCATGCAGTGACTTTCGAGTCCAACGACTGGGAAGGGTTAACTTGCCTTTCCGCCAAGAGGCCTGCTTCACTGAGCAGGCAACGACCACCACTTGGTTTGTGTCTCAGTCCTGATCACAAATCCAGATTTACTTCCTATCAGTCAAACCGTTACCCATATACTTTCCCACAACGCTAGGAAAAAAATAGCGATACCATATTTCACATGGAAACCTAATTTAAACCAACTGTTCCATCACTGAGTGTGAGTCCCCTGGGGCCCTGGTTGTTGAGATTACGTAAGCACTGTTATCATAAACACACGCACACACACACACACACACGCGCACACACACACACACACACACACCCTAACATCTGCTTACAGATTCCAGGGACAATTCTTATTATGGCCTAATGTATTCATGATTTTATAGGCATTAAGGGGTGACAGTGTCATTGCTAGTTATGAAATAAATTAAGGTGCAGCGATGGATGTCAAAATGTTGACCAAAGCATCAAAGGTGGCCACACTTACTATGCATTGCCAATCCAGAAGGAATTTCAGGACACCGAAACCACCCAGAAAATACAAAAATCGCATAAATATGAAGCCCTAGGGCTCAGGCATGGGAAGAGTCCCCTAGAGCAGGAAGGTGTCACGGTGGCGGATTATTTTGCCTTAAGCCAACAGCATGAGAAGGGAATCTAGCCCCCCTGCCCAATTCTTTGTGAGCCCCTCCCAGAAGGCTCTGGGCTTACCCCGTCATCCTAACCCCCTGAGCCCTGCCCACAACGCCTCCGCGATTGCCTCTCCAAATATTTTTTCTATCATTTTTCTCAGTCCTCTCAGGCCTAGAAAAATGGAATA